AAATAAATAAATAAATAAATAAATAAAATTGTATCCTTGATGACATTTGCTTACAATGGATGAAAGCTGGGGGAAATTACAGTATTATTTCACTGTATAGTAAAGTTAGAGCTTCATTATTCAATAGCAAATAAATACTAGGGAGAAATGCCAATTTTTGCATCGTATCAATACTATATTGAAAAAGCAACATCCCAAATCATGAACTCCAAACGTGACTATGAATTCACATTCAGGAACCTATAATTTAATTCCTTGTTTAAATCAAGTTTCTTCTCCAAAGAGATAGAAATCCTCTATTCATATATGAGAGTCTTACAACTTAAGTTACACATAAAAAGGTACGCTAAGGATTATCACTTTCACAGTGTTTATAAACACAAGGATCTTAAAACCAACTTCCTTTTTCAAGTTCATCAGCAATTCCAGATTAATTTTGAATCCTTTCTTTAAAACCAAAATTATTTTAATAGATTATAATTATAATGGGAGACTTTTCATGGAATAATATTAAACTCCATAGTCAGATATTACTCAAAACTATAAGATAAATTTCTGAATACCTGTACCCAGGTTTTCAGAGGAGGACATGCTTCTTTGGGACTAGTCAGGGATGAGTCGACATCAGCACTACCATTCGAAATGCTATCAATATCCACATTGGGTAACACCTGAAACGGAACATAACATCCAGTTTATCATTTTGACTCAAAAATTTGTCAATCTATACATTAATAACATATACTTTTTATTGTGAAGTCAATGCATGACAAATTTTTTGAGTTATGAAAGCATATTTTACAAAATTTAGAAAATAAAGGGGAACACACAAAATCCTACTATATTTTTTTAATGTTTATATTTGAGAGAGAGAGAGAGCAAGCAGGAAAGGGGCAGAGAGAGAGAGAAGCAGAGAATCCCAAGCAGGCTCCATGCTGTCAGTGCAGAGCTTGACATGGGGCTTGGACTCATGAACTGTAAGATTACGACCTGAGCTGAAATCAAGAGTCAGATGTTTAACCGACTGAGCCACCCAGGCACCTTCAAAATCCTAACACCTTAAATTATTTTCACTCTTCCTTTTATCTTTTTACTATGTACTCATGTATGGCTAAAATCTAACACAGTTTCATTTCTTTTTTTTTTTTT